TAACGAAGATCCCCTCCATACCAGTTTATCGATTATATAAAATGTTTTACCGACATTACACAACAGAGTCTAGACACTCTATTCTCAGTATCGAATTTCCAATATCGAATAAAATTACAGTGTTTCCAGTGGTGAGAGTTTAAATAAACAGTAAACGAACCAATGTTGAACGGTAAATAAAAGTATTTCAATTAAAGGTCATGCAGGGATTTGCATTATCGACAACAGAGAAGTCGATATCTACTTTACCTACATCCCGGGTAACGAAGATCCCCTCCATACCAGTTTATCGATTATCTAAAATGTTTTACCGACATTACACAACAGAGTCTAGACACTCTATTCTCAGTATCGAATTTCCAATATCGAATAAAATTACAGTGTTTCCAGTGGTGAGAGTTTAAATAAACAGTAAACGAACCAATGTTGAACGGTAAATAAAAGTATTTCAATTAAAGGTCATGCAGGGATTTGCATTATCGACAACGGAGAAGTCGATTTCTACTTTACCTACATCCCGGGTAACGAAGATCCCCTCCATACCAGTTTATCGATTATCTAAAATGTTTTACCGACATTACACTGTCGGTAACACACTAAACTGTTTTACCAACATTACACAACAGAGTCTAGACATTCTATTCTCAGTATCGAATTTCCAATATCGAATAAAACTATAGTGTTCCTAGTGGTGAGAACTTAAATAAACAGTAAACAAACTAACGTTGAACAATAAATAAATTTCAAACTTGACGTATAAAAAGAAGATAGATTTTCGAAATCATGTTAAGGCTACTGGAACTTGACTCTAACTATTTATTATGCAGAAATAATAATGTATCCATATTATTGATACAAAAAAAATTTGTTTCTGTTGAGAATTATTGCACGAAATTTATAAAAATTTTAACGAGATGACAGAATATGACACGAACTGTTTTATCTCGTTCTGTCATGAAGATTATCAGCAATAAAATATAATTTTTAATTTTATATTGTAAATTGACTATATAGCAATATCTTCCCTTCTCTTTAACGAACATAAATTCTTGGAAATTCTTCAAAGAAGATCGTAATGAACTTTTAAGTGTTGTTTCATTACTCTTCTACCTAATATCTTCATATAAGACATTATGAAGTGAAGTTTCAGAGTAAATGAGATTTAGAAAATTTTAATAACGTGACTGAACAGTGGTAACTTAGAAAATGTTCTTAGTTCCGTGTCTGCTCAACATAGAAATGTTTAAAACCATACAATATAGTTATCTATTAAAGAGAATACAAAAATTCAAAGTGTAAAGTGAGAAAAACCCCATAAAGATGGTCCCATTTACAAACAGCCATAACTCCTACAATAGTGAATATATTTAAATGAAACTTTTTTTCTGAAGTAGAGCTCATCGATGCCTACAAAAAAGTATTAGACAACTTTTCTGTAGAGAGTCAAACAAATTAGTTAAAAATGAAATTTTTCGGCGAAAAAAAAAATTTCAAATCGTTCACGGAAAAATTATTTTCAGTTGAGGGTGTCGATTACAATCATTTTTGGTGAATGGACATACCCCCGAAATCCTACGCATTTTCAAGACAAAAATTCAGGAATGTAAATAAATTTTCCGACAAAATTAAAAGATTTAAAATCGATCTAAAAAAATTGTTAAATCGTTCTTATATAAAATAAATAATATAAAATGTATATTATTCATAAGAACTAAAGAACCGTGTACCGTGTAACTACTACGATAAGATTTATCATGCAGCAAAGTGCTCCTTCCTAAACATACTCCAACACCTATTAAACTATCGAAAGCTATTACAACTGTTAATAGCAAGTTCGACGAAAGTTATTTTAGCGTAGCACGAGAAGGTTCCAGACTATATCAAACTTATGCAATGTGCAGAGTCGACCTTTTCGCTTAATGATAATTCTTCGACGGTGTTCGCGACACGTAATCGCGATAAATTAAAATTCCTCGAAGGGGATGATCGAGAAAATTACGTCGAGACAATACATATACAACCCCAGTATATTATATTACAAATAAAATTAAATTCTCAAACATTCTCATCAAATACTCAGTGCAAAATGCATTAATATATTCACTGATATACTTATTCTAATTTTAGTTTTTCTCCTTTGACACGTTATTCCTGCATACTCTAGGACGGACATAGGCTATGTAGCATGTCTCAGAAGCGCGTTATTAACATGTAATTTATGTGCAAAGATTTCATGTGTACGACTGTTTGGTGGACCACGCGACCCCTGTATACGACAGTCTACTTGCGCGCGCATGCGCGTATTCGACCCGCGCGATACCTCGCCCGTAGCAGTACTGCGATGTCACCGCCAGGTGGCGAAGCTTCTCGAGCGCTTTCTCGCGAGAGAATTGCATTATCGCGGATATGTATGTCAGGACGATCGTCTGGTCATAAATTGCTTTTGCACTAGGTCGGGCGAAGCCGAGACGGGGCATGCTAGTAGTTATATATGTTTGCTTTAACATTGACAGATTATGGCGAAGCAAGTATTCGTCGTTGTTCGATCTCAAAGATTGTTATTGGGAAAACGTAATTGGATAGTTTTGTGCTCCTCTTTTTTTTCTAGAACGATACGTAGTGACGTATTTCTTTCTTTCAGGTCCACTCGAAGAATCGAACGTTTCAGTTTTTCGAATAATGACTCTGGTAACATTCAATTCTACGCAAAGTCTAGTTATGGGTGAATAATTGCACAGTAATTGTAAAGATTAACTTTCCTACATTTTCTTAATTTGTTTATTTTCCATTTATCGACGCAAACGTAACTAAAAGGGTAATAATCGTGAAACATTGATCAGATTGTATCATTGTCGATAAGATGGTTCAACAGGATTATCTAAATTGTTCTGAGAAATATTGATCTATCTAAATATTGAATAACGTTTTAAAATTTCTCTCTACCACGTAAACGAGACTTTTCACATTATTTTACGTGGACACGTGTCGTTATCATTTTCTCGTTAATTTCTTCCGATTCAGCGAAATATATGCGTCGTTTGCAAATATATTTCCGTAGAATGACAAACCAGGCGAAAATTTCCGAAAGGTTATGCGGAAATGCAAGGCAAAATATCCGCCAATATAAGGATGTGATACTAAATTTAATTTCAAAACCTATATTAATCTATTCGAGAAACTATGGAAATTTAACGTCGATTTACTTAATCATCGATTAATCGTCGAAAAGAAAAGGTCTGGTTTAGGTCTGGGTTAGGTCTGGAATAAGTCTGAATTAAATCTGGGTTAGGTCTGGAATAAGTCTGAATTAAGTCTGGGTTAGGTCTGGGTTAGGTCTGGAATAGGTCTGGGTTAGGTCTGGGTTAGGTCTGAATTAAGTCTGGGTTAGGTCTGGGTTAGGTCTGGAATAAGTCTGGGTTAGGTCTGGGTTAGGTCTGGAATAAGTCTGAATTAAGTCTGGGTTAGGTCTGGAATAAGTCTGAATTAAGTCTGGGTTAGGTCTGGGTTAGGTCTGAATTAAGTCTGGGTTAGGTCTGGGTTAGGTCTGGAATAAGTCTGGGTTAGGTCTGGGTTAGGTCTGGAATAAGTCTGGGTTAGGTCTGGGTTAGGTCTGGAATAAGTCTGAATTAAGTCTGGGTTAGGTCTGGAATAAGTCTGAATTAAGTCTGGGTTAGGTCTGGGTTAGGTCTGAATTAAGTCTGGGTTAGGTCTGTGTTAGGTCTGGAATAAGTCTGGGTTAGGTCTGGGTTAGGTCTGGAATAAGTCTGAATTAAGTCAGGGTTAGGTCTGGAATAAGTCTGAATTAAGTCTGGGTTAGGTCTGGGTTAGGTCTGAATTAAGTCTAGGTTAGGTCTGAATTTATAGATAACCTAATTCACCCAGGGAATAGATTTATTTTGTTTTAAATAGATTTAACCCAGACCTAACCCAGACCTAACCCAGACCTAATCCAGACCTAACCCAGATCTAACGCAGACCTAACCCAGACCTAACCCAGACTTAATTCAGACCTAACCCAGACCTAACCCAGATCTAATTCAGACCTAACCCAGACCTAACCCAGACCTAACCCAGATCTAACCCAGACCTAACCCAGACTTAATCCAGACCTAACCCAGATCTAACTCAGACCTAACCCAGACCTAACCCAGACTTAATACAGACCTAACCCAGACCTAACCCAGATCTAACTCAGACCTAACCCAGACCTAACCCAAACCTAGGTTTGTTAGGTTGGGTTAGGTCTGGGTTAGGTCTGGATTAGGTCTGAATTAAGTCTAGGTTAGGTCTGAATTAAGTCTATGTTAGGTCTGGGTTATTTAATCCTTTATATATATATGGGTGACAGAACTTTTAACAGTGGAACTAAAACAATGAATTCTCAAGTTGAAATGTTAAAGAAAATCAATTTTACCTCGCCCGTAGCAGTACTGCGATCTTACCGCCAGGTGGCGAAGCTTCTCGAGCGATTTCTCGCGAGAGAATTGCATCATCGCGGATATATATGTCGGGACGATTGTCTAATCATGAATTGCTTTTGCGCAAGGTCGAACGAAGCCGAGACGGGGCATGCTAGTTTATTACAAATTAATTAGCTTTACCACAGTATAGCACAGTAGTAAATGCTGTTAAAATGTTATTGATAGAAGCATCGAAATAATGAAACGAACTTCCACACTTTGGCGATGAAGTTACGATCTGACACCAGCTGATAGTCACTCTCAAGTGTTGGGGTGAATTTTCGAACAGTGAAACCGATTTAAAACATTACTACGAAAACTTGCTAATTCTGCAGTTACTCAAACTTGATATTTCACACAAGGTTACTGGTTTGAATTAATAATAATAGGAGAAACAAAGTAATATAAATTGCAACAAATTCCCCTAACTATGGATCAAGGCTGTCCATCAATGAGTAATACCAAGAATGTCAATGAATAATCGTCGATTCGAAGCAACCGTGCAAAGTATTATACAAAAGGAACGAACGTACTACTCACCCCAGTCTGCACGGTATAGTAGTTCTTTTGTTGTTTACGCCAACAATTGAGCACGTGCGAGGACGCGGTGTCTTCGTAATGCCGAAGACGATCCTCGGGACGTGGATCCGGTTTCCTCGTGGTGGGTGGATCAGGCCAACGATCCAGGTTGCTCCAGTACTTTCCCTTGCGTTTCACCGCGTAATATCGATAAACCACTATCGTCATCGCGACGACCAGGGCCAACCCCGTGCCGGCAGCTGCCCCGAAGATCGCCGAGGAAATCATCCCACCCCGTCCCCTTTCCAACGTCTCTGCTTCTACTTTTTCTTCTTTCACCTAATTGTCTGGACGAGTTAGCTCCGCCCTGCGCCACCGAATCTGGAAAAAGGTCACCTTCGTTAGAATGGAATCTCAATTAGGTTATACAATTAGGTTTGGTTGCTCTTTTCTCTTTTCCTTGTGGAAAAGTATTTGAAATTCTATATAATACACATTTAACACTTTACCGACCGGTAGCGGTTGATTAATCGGCTATCGGTCGGTAAGCGTTGGCCGGTAAAACAGTCGATTAATACGCTATCGGTCGGTAATGTGTTAAGTAACAAAGTATATCGATCGTAGATAAAAAATATCGCTTTTTTTTAATTTCTTTCACTGTGTATAACGATTCTTGGATGTTTGATTTCACATAGACTCATCTAGAAAACTAGAATTAAATAAATCTTAATTTTTCATTTGAGAAACGCCTTCTACGAAAGATATATACGAAATAACTCGTGTAATTCCTCGTTAAAAAATGAAACAAAAACGTGAAGTGTAATTTTTGCATAAGAGGCCCCCCTTTCGAGACAATTTGTTTTAAAAATATGTCGCACATGTCGATGTAAATAAAACGCTGTTCGATGGATCTTATTATAGATGTTTGTCACGTTTGTATGTGACGTATAAAGTCAGTACTATATATACAAACTAACCTAATTATTGAAAACATTTTATAATTAGAAGGAAGATTGTTCAAACGTGACGTAAAAATTTAAACTTTATCAATCAAGTATGTGCTCCTTCTATTTTTAAAATTTATTATCCGGAGAACGGAGTCTCGTGCAAACAAATTTTTATTTTTTTTTTCATCGAAAAATTTGTCCATTTACTGAATTTTTTTCTCGAAAATCCGTAGGATTTCGAGGGTACGTTTCTTCACCAAAAATGATTGTAAACGACCCCCGCAACCGAAAATAATTATTTCAGAATGGTTTGAAATTTTTCATCTAATTTGAACATTTATGGGAAATTTTAATTATCAAAAAACTACAGAGTGCACTTAATACGCAAAAATACAAGGAATACTTGAAGCAAGATACGAATTAATATATTTAGGGATCGAAACAACCCTCTACAAAGCTCTCATTCCGTTAATTCTATTAATAAAAATTCGCAGTCTAGTTATTATAATAGTATTTAATGAATTACAACATGTAATCAGTAAATATCAATAAAAAAAATTCAATTACGAATGAATTGAATTTTTAAGCGTATATTTTTCCCCCCCCAAACAGAAAACCACTGTTTTAGAAATTTCATAATATAAAATTTAGATCGAAATGCTGAAATCCAACGCATCCGGTATACTGGTTAGCCATTTTTAATAAAGTTGCGCGAGGAGAAACTGGAGTCTGGGTGAAACTGATGAAACTGACCCAATCTTAAAGGTCACGCTTTAGTGCCCGACAACCACGAAGAACAGAGAAGTAAAAATACGATGAAGAAGGTTTAATACGATCGCTGCCATATATATCAGAGGGATGTTGTTGCGTTACGATCGCGTTTACGAGTTCCCAGAACGCGGATGATCACTTAACACGAATGCTAGAAAAGGAACGAGCGGTTTCAGACACCGAGCACGAACTACGATGCGAAGCTTACGAGCCACGCGAGTTCTGCGACGTTCTCGAATCGTTCTACAACCGTGAAAACAAATATAAAATTCAGAAAAAATAGGATCAAGTACCTGTGTGTAACATACATCGATTCAAAGATAAAAGATAAAATCTTTGATAACGTTTCAGCTTTTAAATTCGTTCACGTTTTATGACTGTTCGTGATGGTGTTCCATTTAAAACTCTGTCATTGTTTCTAATTTTAACGACTTCTGGTATCTTTCAACTTTTATTTTTTATTTGATTAAAAGGTATAATATAACTAGGTGCCTTTGTGAGTCACTCACCATACGTGTTTCTAATAAATCTATCATAACTCCTACTTACGTTGTTGAATCACTTTTTACTATCTGACACTGGCTTTTCTTTGTTTTAAATTAATAAGTTCATCTATTTAATCGCGTTGGAATGGAGAACACAGAAATTATTTATGTCCTGTATCCAGAAGATTTCTACCGAGAAAGCATCTATTTTATTCTTTTACATGTATATATAAAAGAATAAAATAAACCAGACCTAACCCAGACCTAACCAAGACCTAACAGAGACTTAATCCAGACCTAACCCAGACCTAACTCAGACTTAACCCAGATCTAACTCAGACCTAACCCAGGTTTGTTAGGTTGGGTTAGGTCTGGGTTAGGTCTGGATTAAGTCCAGGTTAGGTCTGAGTTAGGTCTGGATTAAGTCTGGGTTAGGTCTGAGTTAGATCTGGATTAGATCTGGGTTAGGTCTGGGTTAGGTCTGGGTTAGGTCTGGATTAAGTCTAGGTTAGGTCTGAGTTAGGTCTGGATTAAGTCTGGGTTAGGTCTGGATTAAGTCTAGGTTAGGTCTGAGTTAGGTCTGGATTAAGTCTGGGTTAGGTCTGAGTTAGATCTGGGTTAGATCTGGGTTAGGTCTGGGTTAGGTCTGGGTTAGGTCTGGGTTAGGTCTGGATTATGTCTAGGTTAGGTCTGAGTTAGGTCTGGATTAAGTCTAGGTTAGGTCTGAGTTAGGTCTGGATTAAGTCTGGGTTAGGTCTGAGTTAGATCTGGATTAGATCTGGGTTAGGTCTGGGTTAGGTCTGGGTTAGGTCTGGATTATGTCTAGGTTAGGTCTGAGTTAGGTCTGGATTAAGTCTGGGTTAGGTCTGGGTTAAGTCTGGGTGAGGTCTGGATCTAACTCAGACCTAACACAGACCTAACCCAGACTTAATTCAGACTTATTCCAGACCTAACTCAGACCTAACCCAGACTTAATCCAGACCTAACCCAGACCTAACCCAGATCTAACTCAGACCTAATCCAGACCTAACCCAGACCTAACCCAGATCTAACTCAGACCTAATCCAGACCTAACCCAGACTTAATCCAGACCTAACCCAGACCTAACCCAGACCTAACCCAGACCTAATCCAGATCTAACCCAGACCTAACCCAGATCTAAGTCAGACCTAACCCAGACCTAACCCAGACTTAATCCAGACCTAACCCAGACCTAACCCAGACCTAACCCAGACTTAATTCAGACCTAACCCAGACTTAATCCAGACCTAACCCAGACCTAACCCAGACCTAACCCAGACCTAATCCAGATCTAAGTCAGACCTAACCCAGACCTAACCCAGACTTAATCCAGACCTAACCCAGACCTAACCCAGACCTAATCCAGATCTAAGTCAGACCTAACCCAGACCTAACCCAGACTTAATCTAGACCTAACCCAGACCTAATCCAGACCTAACCCAGACCTAACCCAGACCTAACCCAGACCTAACCCAGATCTAAGTCAGACCTAACCCAGACCTAACCCAGACTTAATCCAGACCTAACCTAGACCTAACCCAGATCTAACTCAGACCTAATCCAGACCTAACCCAGACTTAATCCAGACCTAACCCAGACCTAACCGAGACCTAAGCCATACTTAATCCAGACCTAACCCAGACCTAACCCAAACCTAGGTCTGGTTATTCGGTTCGAATACTTTTGTGAGTCACTCACCATACGTGTTTCTAATAAATCTATTATAACTCCTACTTACGTTGTTGAATCTATTTCAAATTTTACTGGCATAATCTTAAGACTTCCATCTTTCTATTGACATCTACTTGTTTCAGCAAATTGCTGTAATGTACATTATTTCGGTCATTCAAGTTTGCATATGTAAGCGTTCGAATACTTTCGTGAGCCACTGTACGTAAGTAGTCAATAGCGGTTCGAGTCCATCAATTCTCCTTTCGAGGAATTTTTAATTCCTCGAGATGTTTAATCTCGATGGCGGATCGCGGTAAATGGAAATGGACGAGCCTTTGGAATTGATTACTGGGGATCGAGGGATCGCGCCCAACGGGAGAAGTAATTAACAACGATAGATCAATATATCTTACTTTGCACGCTTGGAGCATCGTCTGGTCAGAAGGCTGCGTTGAGAATCTTGAAACGTAATTATTGGCGATCTATAAATTTGCCTTTATTTATCCGTTCATCTATTTTTTTACGAAGCAACAACGTGTTTGCTCGAAGTTCTAATTAGTTATTCTGTTACACGTAAAACGGAAGTTCCTACCCGTAAAAATAACTCTTCACTGTGTAAATACCATGATAGATCGACTTTGATCACCGTCGCGATAAAATTGACTTTGGATTTAAACTTGCTCGACGCGATTCAAAATTACGAAAATAATTCGTCGTCGTCCTTGAATAAACTAATTTTCGAGATGATCGACGACAACTTTACTACACAGATCGTTTCGATTCCAGCCTAATCGATCGAGTAAATGGTAGTTTCCCTAGGGAATTTAACAGTAACCAGAAACCATTTTCTCCTGGAAAAAAGATTTTCAAACTTCGAAAAACAATTACAATAGATGGTAATTAATATTTGTTATTTATGGTTGATTGGGTTCAATAGAGTTGGCATGCTTTAAACAATTAAATTTCAAGTAAAACAAAATTTAAATATAACTCGGAGTGCAAAGGGTTAAGGTGATTATTACGCGTGTCGAGAACACTTTGTGCAACGTTTATCGAGTCTCGAGGATATTCGTACGAGAAACAGACTTTCGTTTTCGTTTTTATGCCGGGACTAAAATTGCCTATGGCTTATCGCCATAGCAACGGAATGGATTAATCCGCGGTGAACGCGCGATGACGCGAATCACGTCAGCTTCAGAGTTCAACGAGCTCCCCCTTGCACCTGCAAGCGGGGATGCATTTACGCCACGAGAACCGAGTCTGTTCGACGGGGAAATTGCATGACGCGCGTCGAAATTTAATGGGGAGGCCAGACGCGCGAACATCCCCTCGAAATTTAAAGGATAACGAGGACGTCGCGTTTTTTTGCGATCATTATTGGCCAACGACCCGC